AGTTCACTGCGGTCCAAGAGGAGGAGGTGGGTTGGTGTTCGAGACCGGGCTTAAACATCTGTGTGAGGCTGTCGGGTCTCTGCAAGGATCAAACTGTGACCATAGCTGCAGGTAAAAGCCAGATCCTGTCAGACCTCTGAAGCTAAGTGGGGCAGTGCCTGGTTAGTACTGTGATGGGAGACCTCTGGGAACAACAGGTGCCACGGTGGGGCGGCTGTAAAGTGCCAAAATGTATATGTGTCCTGAGGCAAGGCACTTCGCCCACTATAAAATGAGATTTGTGTGTGTGTGTGTGTGTGTGTGAGAGAGAGTGGTTGGTGGTGGTGGGAGGGGTCGATGGCACAGACTGGTTGCCTCGCTTCTCACAGTGTGTCCCAGGGCAGATGTGGCTACAATAGTAGTTAATTGCCACTGTTTATGGAGTGAAAGTTTATGTGAAGGCATAGACAATATTTAATATATATATACCCCTTAAAAATCTGACGGGTCTGCGTGGCCCCCCAAAATAATAACCAAGAAGACAACATTAAGAATAGGCTCTTCTGGTTATTTTATTTTGGGGAAATAGCCTCTGCTACAAACATTGTAATACAAAAATGATTACAGTGGATTATTCAAGTCAAATAATGAACACAAATATTTTAATATTACAAACAAAACATTATAAATTTAACATTAGATAATTATATTATTTTTTTATTTTTTTTATGACCTCCCGCGGCCCCCCTGCAGTACCCTCGCGGCCCACCAGGGGGCCGCGGACCCCACTTTGGGAGACACTGCGCTATTGTATTGGTGTATTCCTAGATCAAAGCTGTTGATACAGTGAATCTTTAGTGTACAGATATGGGACTAGAGGTGTGGCCTTCTCGCAGCTCTGGACTTATCAAACGAACAGATCCCAGTATGTTCACATCAATGGTACTGATTACCAGTTCATGACGATGGTGTGCGGGGTCCCACAGGGGTCAGTGTTGGGTCCCTTTTTATTTTCAATTCAATGCAATTCATTTAATTCTTTATTAAGAACACAGAGAAGACTGGTTCATAGATTTAACAAAAAAAACATTTGTATACAATAAAACTAAAAACAGGTGTACAGGCAGCCTCCATAAGTCAGAGGAGAACCTAACAGAGCTCCTCCTAGGACAGACCAGAGCTTGGATGATCTGGTTTGACAGACTCACGGCTCTGCACATAAAAGAGTAAATACAATATCTGATGGAGACATGACCTCGCACCACAATTTACAAACATTTCACTGGCGCTACAAAACCTGGGCCCTTTCAACAGGATCCTCAGAGAGTCACTGTGAGCCACATTTAGACTCTGCATACTAGAGCTGAAACAACTAATCGATTTAATCGATTAAAATCGATTATTCAAATAGTTGTCAACTAATTTAGTCATCGATTAGTCGCTAAATAACTTTTATTTTGCCGTAAGCGGCTCATTTCGTGCATATTTTAACTCTGCGGTGACCAAATGGTGGCAGTAATGAGCCACCGGAGGTTTTACAGCAGGAGAAGTAGCGAATAGCCAATAGCTGGCCTCCGTTTATGTCACATGCTTCGCGCACAGCTTCTCTTCAGCATACAGCAAGATGGCGGAGGCAAGCGGCAGTGGAGTTAGCTCGAGAAAGAAAAGGAAAAAAGCAGAAGACAAACCTAATCGAACGAAGTCATCCAAAGTGTGGGAGCACTTTACTTTGAACCTTCAAAAAAGAAGAGTAACCTGTAAACTCTGCGCTACTGACTTGGCCTGGCACGGGAGTACTACGTCTCTGCGTGAGCACCTTAAACGAAGCGTAGTTTATCAACTTAAATAAGCCTTGTTCGGGATTTTAAACTACTTCAGAAGCCCTAAGGATTTTCATGGTGAAAACCTTATTGGAAATCTCCTTGTGAAATTTGCTAGAGCATGTAACGGTCAGTGTTTTGTTTTGATGGTCGACATTGAGTTCAACAAAGGATTACAAAGACATAATAAACAGCTCCAGATATGTTTTTGATGTGGATATGAATATGTAAAATGGTTAAAATCTCTAAAAAGTCTATGTTGAATGATGAAGGCCCTTTGTTAACAATTTACTTGGAAAAAAATTGGCAAAACTAAAATATAAGTACATAAACCAATTAATCGATTAGTCGTAAAAATAATCGCCTGATTAATCGATTATCAAAATAATCGTTAGTTGCAGCCCTATTGCATACTCTTTTTCTTATACCTACGCCAGAGCTGTGCCGTAAACAAGGGCGAACAGAAAGAACAGATTTTAATTTTAACATGTCTAGAGCACATGTGAAAGTTCCGAGCGAGCATATTAGCCTGGCCATAAAGTTTACACGGCTGTCGATACATGTCTCTATCGTCAGAGAGGTCAGACGTTATGTAGTGTCCAAGATACTTCTTCTCCTCTGAGGGTTGGAGAGTATCGCCACATAGAAGGAAGTCAGGGAACACTATTCTTTCTCGTGTATATTAATGATCTCTGTCTGGCTTCAAAATCATCAAACCTTACGTTATTTGCCGATGACACTAACATGCTGAGTTATGGCAAAAACCTAGACATTTTAACAGATGCAGTTGAGAAAGAATCCTTAATCCTAGAACGAGTAAGATTCCTTGTGATACTTCTACAAAATAATCTCAGTTGGAAGCCTCATATGAACTATATTAGGTCAAAACCGTGTAAATCTACTGCAGTATTATCTAGGGTCAAAGAACCCAATGGGGAACCTCTGTGGACCGCAAAGTGATCTGTTCGTAGTGGATTTTCTCTTCTGACTCATGGTCGTAGCAAAGCAGTGATCTCCAGCCGCTTTTTCTCATGTTTGTTTTGGGTTTGTTTGACTCTGGTGCTGGCGGAGGGAGCGTGGCGGGGACTGCGGCCTCCTGCGGCTCCTTCTTCAATCTTTAAATGCTTCTGCGACTGGAGTTGGACGGCCTGTGATCTCGAATGCATGCTCTTTCTCCCATCTTTCCTTCATTTCAGAAGTCGAGCCGCGTGTTCCACTCTGTTCACCAGAGAAGGCGTTCGCTGTGATTTGTCGTCCGGCCAAAGTAGATGTTGTGTTGTAGAATCTCTTTGTTTTTTAGTGCCACTGATCCGTCCATAATCCTACACCAGAAAATGCCACGAAACTTCTATGTCCACTCACTTCCTGTTTCTCAGACTTTGATGGATTTAAGGATGCAGTCGGTGATTTTTTTCCAGACGCATTTTTTTTTATATTAAGGGAAAACGTTCCTAAACCCTTAAAGTGGGATGGGAACCACTTACTCCCTTCACCCTCTTCCTGTTTCTGATGGATGTTTGGTTTAGTGGAGAGGGGGGGTGGGTGGTTTCGAGTTGGTGCTACGGCTAAGCTACCCAAATCGCTTACTGCACCTTTAACGAGACGATCGTTGATTCAAGAGACAGTCTTTCACGAACTGTAGTCTATCTGTAGCTTTTAGATGCACAAATATTAAGATCTGGTGCAAGAATGACTATTTACCGATTCAATTCAATTTTTGTATTTCATGTAACCGCAGTAATCTTGGAGGACTGTACTAAGCTGTCCGTTCGCCAACACAGACCAGGACAAGGGTCATCAAACTGATCAAACTGATAAAAAACACATAGAGACATTGGTCCATAAGGGGCAGGGACCAATGTCTATAAATGTTAATAAATGTTTCCTTATATATTGTTGTATGTGGAGAGCGTCCTGGGACATCACCACTGTCTTTAGACCCTTCCGCATCTGCAAGGACAAACTCTGAAAACCCTGTGGTAAAATTCCAACTTATCCGGCTTATGTTTTAGTCTTTTATTGTGCCGCACTTTGGGAACTCTGTGTTTTTGAAATATGCTACTGTATATAAAGTGGGTTGGATTAGATTTCATTTGACACTATATACATTTTGTTGTAGCCATTGAGTACACCACAGTGTTCGCCTCAATGCTGAAGAAGCTGATTTTAGCATAAGCTAGCTGGAGCCAATTTCCTTATATGGGCATTTGTTCAGAGGGGGTTAGCTTCACACCATGACAGGGGAACAGCGATTATGATATGATGCAAGAATGACTTTTTAACACTGCCGTAGACCAAAGTCTGTCCGGAGGTTCCAAGAATAAGTCATAATTAGTGGTTTATTGATGATTTTTTTTTTTTTTACATGGTCTGGACTCTGCATCTCTGCTGTATTCTATGGTTTTACCCAGATAGTTAAAGTCTTGTTGAGAAAAACGGCTGAGTTGTGGGAAAGCCGTATATTTGGAGTTGATGTCAGCGTAGTGTTAGCCTTAATACCAGGTAGAAAGAGACACATTTTCAGTTTTCATATATTTCTGTATTTGTGTGTGGTTTATTGTGCTGTTTCTTTACTGTCTGTTCAGCTCTTTGGTAAACCCAGGATGTTTTAAATGTGCTCTACAAATACAGATTTGATTCACTGATTATTGCAGAAGAAGCCGATTTGAAGATAAGCTAGCTGGAGTCTATTTACTTATATGGGCATTTGTTCAGAAAGGGGCTAGCTCCGGTTGCTAACATGAGGTAACAGAACAGTAGAAATGAGCAGCAGCACAACACAAGAGAAACAAAAACTCTATGCTAAAATAAAATAAATTTCTAACTTTAGCATAATAAAGTAGCAAGAATTAAGTTTAACATCTCTGGCTCTAGCTTAATAAAGAAGCAAGTATACAATCTCTGGCTTTAGCATAAGTCTAGAGCATAAATATCAAAGTTAATTCAGAGAAAACACTAAAGTACTTAAGAAATATCACAATACTTTACTCTACTGTTCTAATTTATGTGCAAAATATCACAATACTGAACAGAATCAATCACACGACCTCATTCTTCCGCATTGAATCCTGTCCTTTTACCAGTTTTATAACAATAAAACCGGATTACCCACACGCCGTCCTCCTCACCGCAAAGGAGCTTAGCCTTTTTAACCAGTGCGGCGTGGAGCATCTGTCGTTCATATAACACTCTGCGCGACACATGCTAGCTAGCGGGCCGTCAGAACGCGCTGCCGAAGAATGGACCACAATTCCTCCGGAGTCGCAACAGGTGAGAGGAGTTATGAGGTCGTTTGGAACAAGAGAAGAGAGGGAGAGAGAGAGAGAGAGGGGGAGGGTGAGGGGTGAGAGAGACACGAGGGGGGGGTCTGTTGAGAGGTCCCCCTGCTCCACCTGTAGCTCGCGTCAGCTGTTGTAAGCCTGTTAAAACGTCAGCTGTTTGTGAAGTGCCTCGGCTTGTGTAGTGTCAGGGGGAGAGAAGGTGGGAGGGCGGGAGGGAGAGGGGGGAGGGAGAGGGGGAGGAGAGGAAATAGAGATGGGACAATGGGACTCCTAATGCTTTTCCTCCAACGGGGTTTTAATGAAGCGGACAGAGTTGGTGGTCGTTGGTGGAAAGTGAGAATGGACGATACTTTTCATGACCCACACTCCTGGTATAAAAACGATATTACATGGACTGTTACCACGGTTACAGATAAGTGCTTTGCTAATGATGTAATGCTAGGACTCCCACAATTATGACCCGAATAATAATTATAATTATTATTCTGACCAATGGGATCTGAGGAATTGCAAAAATATTACGATTTTGGATGGATGCATTAAAAGTAAGTTATTTTATTTGTTTTTTTATTTTTTTACCTTTACTCATTTATACAAACAGCTAAAACACTTGAATAAAACTTGCAATACAGCAAAGGCTAGCTGATGCTAAGTGGTAGAAAGTAAACATTATGTTGCTATGGTAACTAGTGCTGCCTCTTCTCTGGGAGGTAAAGGTAAAACTACACAAATTTCCAAAGTAAATAAAAATGTCATAAAAATAATGACATAAAAAAGCAGTTATGAAGAGAAAAAAATTACATATGTTTTTAATTACTCTTACAAAACTAAAGGCAGTCAAATTGACTGCTCTGGGAGTTCTAGTGTTAATGAAGCGGGCAGGGTTGGTGGTTGTTGGTGGAAAATGAGAATCAGTGTTTTTTGAAGTATAGGGCTGAGGCTGTAGATCCAGGACTGAGGCTGTAGATCCAGGACTGAGGCTGTAGATCCAGGACTGAGGCTGTAGATCCAGGACTGAGGCTGTAGATCCAGGACTGAGGCTGTAGATCCAGGACTGAGGCTGTAGATCCAGGACTGAGGCTGTAGATCCAGGACTGAGGCTGTAGATCCAGGACTGAGGCTGTAGATCCAGGACTGAGGCTGTAGATCCAGGACTGAGGCTGTAGATCCAGGACTGAGGCTGTAGATCCAGGACTGAGGCTGTAGATCCAGGACTGAGGCTGTAGATCCAGGACTGAGACTGTAGATCCAGGACTAAGGCTGTAGATCCAGGACTGAGGCTGTAGATCCAGGACTGAGGCTGTAGATCCAGGACTGAGACTGTAGATCCAGGACTGAGACTGTAGATCCAGGACTGAGGCTGTAGATCCAGGACTGAGGCTGTAGATCCAGGACTGAGGCTGTAGATCCAGGACTGAGGCTGTAGATCCAGGACTGAGGCTGTAGATCCAGGACTGAGACTGTAGATCCAGGACTGAGGCTGTAGATCCAGGACTGAGGCTGTAGATCCAGGACTGAGGCTGTAGATCCAGACCCAAGACTGAGGCTGTAGATCCAGGACTGAGGCTGTAGATCCAGACCCAAGACTGAGGCTGTGACTGAGGCTGTAGACCCAGGACTGAGGCTGTAGATCCAGACCCAAGACTGAGGCTGTAGATCCAGGACTGAGGCTGTAGACCCAGACCCAAGACTGAGGCTGTAGATCCAGGACTGAGGCTGTAGATCCAGGACTACTCAGCTCCTCTGTTACCAATACACTTTTGAATCCCAGCTCTAATTAACTTTTAACTTTTAAGCTAAATCTGATGCCAGAGGTGGTGTTGCGGTCCCAGTCTCGGTCTCGGCTGATCCCAGACCAGCGTGGGTCCGTGTTCCTCCTGGTTCCGTCTTTCCGCTGGTCTTGGTGGGAGAGCGGACAGGGAGTCACAGCTGTTGAGTGATTTATGAGTTTAATTTCACTGATAGATTAAATATCATATAGCCGTAAGGGCGGGGCAGTAATTACAATAACACAGCAGCGTCCAGCTCGCCCCACGTCGTGTGCAGACGCTGGAAAACGCTTACTTCCACAAAATAGTTTTTGTCGGAACAATTTGGGAGCTCGCGGGAGGTTCGGGAATCTGTGGAGGATTCTGCTGAGCTTATTAAATGTTAGAGATTTGACCTTGTAACATTAAAATTAGATGTTTTATCACGACAAGATGTTTTGGGGAAGAACAATGTTGCAGTTTGTTCATGAAAGGGTTGCCAGGTCCAAATCCTGAACCTGTAAGATAGACTTTATAGACTTAATTGATCTTGGTTATATCTGGCATGGATAGAATCATGTTAAATGCATGATATATTATGTACAATAAAAGTGGCAATTAGGAAACGGTGGCAATAGTAGTGCAGCTTGTTTTTTTTTATCAGTCCTCGTGCAAGTGACTTAAAATGACTTGAAGTGACTTATTGTACAGTCTGACAGCAGTGGGGATAAAGACATGTTGCTTAATTAGCTGGTTACCTTCTAAAAGTACAAGTGTTTGTATTGTTTCTACCTTAATTCAATGGTATGTATTTGTGTATAGACCTGAGTCGTCTCGGAGCACTTTACAAAGTTGCCGATTCACCAACAACAGATGAAAGAATCAGTTTGAACACAGGAAATGCAATGATAACAAACACATAAGAGTTATTGGTCCACAATGTTCATAAATGTTCATAAATGTTTCTAAATGTCCCGTATCATCACGGTCTTCAAAGCCGGCAGGTAAAACCAAATTCGGTCCAAATTTGGAAAGTTCTGGGTTGAAATCCTAGTCGGAACAGGGCCTTTCTGAGTGGAGTTTGCATGTTCTCCCCGTGTTTGTGTAAGTTTCTTCCGAGTACTCCGGTTTCCCTTACCACATGTGCAATAGTTCAGGGTGAGTGTGTGTTTGTGAGTGCGACTGTGAGACGCTACAATCCGCAGTGAAGTGTTCAAGAACATGCACTCTCTGTCATTGATAAAAGTAGCTCTCTGTCATTTCTCTCTGATAAAAGTAGCTCTCTGTCATTGATAAAAGTAGCTCTCTGTCATTGATAAAAGTAGCTCTCTGTCATGTCTGTTTGATAAAAGTATCTCTCTGTCATGTCTGTTGGATAAAAGTAGCTCTCTGTCATTTCTGTTTGATAAAAGTAGCTCTCTGTCATTGATAAAAGTAGCTCTCTGTCATGTCTGTTTGATAAAAGTAGCTCTCTGTCATTGATAAAAGTAGCTCTCTGTCATGTCTGTTTGATAAAAGTAGCTCTCTGTCATCGATAAAAGTAGCTCTCTGTCATGTCTGTTTGATAAAAGTAGCTCTCTGTCATGTCTGTTGGATAAAAGTAGCTCTCTGTCATTTCTGTTTGATAAAAGTAGCTCTCTATCATTGATAAAAGTAGCTCTCTGTCATGTCTGTTTGATAAAAGTAGCTCTCTGTCATTGATAAAAGTAGCTCTCTGTCATGTCTGTTTGATAAAAGTAGCTCTCTGTCATTGATAAAAGTAGCTCTCTGTCATGTCTGTTGGATAAAAGTAGCTCTCTGTCATTTCTGTTTGATAAAAGTAGCTCTCTATCATTGATAAAAGTAGCTCTTTGTCACTGATAAAAGTAGCTCTCTGTCATGTCTGTTTGATAAAAGTAGCTCTCTGTCATGTCTGTTGGATAAAAGTAGCTCTCTGTCATTTCTGTTTGATAAAAGTAGCTCTCTGTCATTTCTGTTTGATAAAAGTAGCTCTCTGTCATTGATAAAAGTAGCTCTCTGTCACTGATAAAAGTAGCTCTCTGTCATGTCTGTTTGATAAAAGTAGCTCTCTGTCATGTCTGTTGGATAAAAGTAGCTCTCTGTCATGTTTGATAAAAGTATCTCTCTGTCATGTCTGTTGGATAAAAGTAGCTCTCTGTCACTTCTGTTTGATAAAAGTAGCTTTCTGTCATTGATAAAAGTAGCTCTCTGTCATGTCTGTTGGATAAAAGTAGCTCTCTGTCACTTCTGTTTGATAAAAGTAGCTTTCTCTCATTGATAAAAGTAGCTTTCTGTCATGTCTGTTTGATGAAAGTAGCTCTCTGTCATGTCTGTTTGATAAAAGTAGCTCTCTGTCCTTTCTGTTTGATAAAAGTAGCTCTCTGTCATGTCTGTTTGATAAAAGTAGCTCTCTGTCGTGTCTGTTTGATAAAAGTAGCTCTCTGTCACTTCTGTTTGATAAAAGTAGCTCTCTGTCGTGTCTGTATTGGTTTTATATCGATAATGCAAAATTGGAACATTAAAGAGAAACATGAAAACAAACTTTTCTCTCGTTCATGTGTAAATAAATATTCTACTAAACATATATTTTATCAATATACTTAAAAACCATCTTGATCAGTGATTTTGTTCAACATTCCCACGACACTAAAACCGTCAGTTTGTACTCACCATAACAGTACTGCTTTGGCCTAAAGGTCAGTGGGGAGGCGGTCTAAGCAGAGATGACCCAACATCCTTATCCACATCCAGGACTGACGCTGTAGACCCAGGACTGAGGCTGTAGATCCAGGACTGACGCTGTAGACCCAGGACTGAGGCTGTAGATCCAGGACTGACGCTGTAGACCCAGGACTGAGGCTGTAGATCCAGGACTGAGGCTGTAGATCGGGGACTGAGGCTGTAGATCTAGGACTGAGGCTGTAGATCCAGGACTGAGGCTGTAGATCCAGGACTGAGGCTGTAGATCCAGGACTGAGGCTGTAGATCCAGGACTGAGGGTGTAGATCCAGGACTGAGGCTGTAGATCCAGGACTGAGGCTGTAGATCCAGGACTGAGGTTGTAGACCCAGGACTGAGGCTGTAGATCTAGAACTGAGGCTGTAGATCCAGGACTGAGGCTGTAGATCCAGGACTGACGCTGTAGACCCAGGACTGAGGCTGTAGATCCAGGACTGAGGCTGTAGATCGGGGACTGAGGCTGTAGATCTAGGACTGAGGCTGTAGATCCAGGACTGAGGCTGTAGATCCAGGACTGAGGCTGTAGATCCAGGACTGAGGCTGTAGATCCAGGACTGAGGCTGTAGATCCAGGACTGAGGCTGTAGATCCAGGACTGAGGCTGTAGATCCAGGACTGAGGTTGTAGACCCAGGACTGAGGCTGTAGATCTAGAACTGAGGCTGTAGATCCAGGACTGAGGCTGTAGATTCAGGACTTACGCTGTAGATCCAGGACTGAGGCTCTACAGTGCAGGACTGAGGCGGCACCCAAGCGGGTCGAGGGGGGTGCAGTCCACAATGGCAGTGGGTGAATAGCAATGAATAAACGTGAAAGGTTTAATTTATTTGAATGGCACAGTAATGGATCATTTGTTTGACATGAATCACTGTTTCCAAGTTTTGACATAAGTTTGCTCAGTTCATGATGGAACTTGCAAAGACAACACTATTGTTTGTTGAAGTCTCTGGTGTGGGAACGCCTCAGGATCCCCACGAAGGAAGTGTGCGTCCACAAACGTGTTTTACAGCTCGCCCCTAATGCAGCTCCACCAACATTCACACACACACACCAAACTCCTTCAGCTCTGGCCACAGTAGTAGTTCATCACCTCTGTGTACGAAGTGAATGAATAACGACCTGTGAAGCGTCTGTGAGAGGCCAAAAGATGAATATGACGAGATCCCGTGTCCGTCCCACAGTTACAGATCAGTAGGAATGAGGCACATGGACAATAACTATGCTAACACCAGATATAATAACATAACATCTCCTAGCTTCATCAGAATAAAGAAGCAAGAATTTAGTATTTATAAAACCTTAAGGACTGCAAGCCTGTGTATTATGTTTTACTTCTGCCTGGTAATTGGGTTACGTGATGTATTGTGTTATGTTTTGTATGTACATATCGTGAGTGTATGTTTGGTGACTGCGTTGTCTGAAATAATAATTAAAAAATACTAAAACTAAAAAAAATTTAGTACGAAATCGCCTGACGTAAGTATACAAATATCTGACTTTAGCATAATAAAGAAGCAAGTATAAAGTGCTGCAAGAAATACATAGTTGTACTTATACATCTGTACGTGTTAGCAAAAAAATGCCATATCACAACCGATGCATTATCTGTCGCCATAGTAACAAGACTCCTAGTTTGTTGTCGTTAGCCGCGCCGCATACTTTCCCTCGCTTTCGCTGATTACAGATTGTGGAACCGTCGCTCCCGTGTTCTCCTTATAAGTTATGGTTCTGGGAGACAGATTGCCCGGTGGAATTCTGTGCCCGGCGATTAACCCCTGGAATTCTGGGACTTTTTGGGCACAGAGTGAGCGAGGTCCAGCTCCGGCCCCTGAACATGCTGAGTCTGAGTCTGAGCAGGAGCACAGTGGGGAAAGTCAATGACACAACTGTTTAGTAGAGTCCCCAGCCTCCCCTTTCCCACACCCCCGCGGCCCCTGAGGAGATGGCGCGGTCGGGAAAGGTCACAGACGTGGAGGCATGGCTTGGGAAGTGCGGGACCCAGAGGAAAAACATGGAGTCGTCAACAGTTGTATTTATGAACCAGTGAAATGAATGAAAACTGTAGAAGAAATCTTTGTTTATATAGCGCCTTCACAGACCAGAGTCACAAGCAGCTTTACAATTGTTGTGGGTGTTTGTGGGGTCACCAAACAGGAGGCAAATGCCAGATCTATTGTACATGTTTTTAGGGGCAGGGGAAACTGGAGCACCTGGAGGGAACCTACGCAGACACGTGGAGAACATGAAAACTCCACTCGGAAAGGGCTGGACATTGAATCAAACCCAGGAGATTCTTGCTGCTTCTGGCATCATGTGTGGCCAGACCATGAGAAACCCAGATCCCGTCAGACACATGGAGAACATGCAAACATTTGAAAGGGCACACAGAAAGGCCCAAGTGGAATCAAACTCAACTCAGGACCTTCTTGGTGTGAGGCACAAGCGCTAACCACTGCGCCACTGTGCCGACCTTTCTCACATCAGCTCAGACAGACCACCTTTACTCAACCAACCAAGTATCCCAAGTATGAGTGAAGATTGCATGTTCTCCCCGTGTCTGCATAGGTTTCCTCCAGGTGCTCCTGTTTTCCCTACCTCTAAAAACATGTGCAATAGTTCAGTGTGTGTTTGTGAGTGCGAATGTGGGACAACGGGTGCAAATTAACCCAACACTTACAATCCGGAGTGATGTGTTGATTATAATGTACTGTCCCAACCAGACAACAAACAAACACGTTAGCATTGTCCATTTATATACAGTCTATGATGTAAACTCACGCCCTCAGCTCCTCAGAACGACAGAAAACCTTTTACTCAGGCTGTTTTCCTTCTGGTTGTGTTGTGGTTGAAATCGTCGTTCTCTTAAATGTGACTCAGATTCCACACTTGACCGTTTGGATTCTGGATTCTCACCAAACTTGAGGTCAACAATGTTCTCGTATAAACTGTGCCAGATTTTTTAATTTTTTTTTTTTCATTTTTCTTAACATATAAAGCTTCTACAACTGGCATGTCAGGCGGCAATCTGGGCTGTGAAAGGAACAACCAATCTGCAACAGAAAATTAAAAAAAAACGCGTTGGGATCGTTCCATGTGGATTCAAAACAAAATGTTCCGAATGCGACTGATTTAAACCGAGCCATAACAAAAAACTGGGCTTTAATTTAACTTTTCAACCAAAAAAACAGAAGTGGGTGCATTCGCCAATAGCAACACTAGAATGCAGCAAATACAACTAAAGATTATCTGTCTTTTATTTACTGGAATTTCTCATCTGGCCTTGTTTCCACCAGGCAAGGCAAGTTTTTTTATATAGCACAAGGCAACTCAAAGTGCTGAACAAAACCAGTTAGAAACAATCTCACGAGGCATTAACATAATAAATAATAATTCAAAAGAGTGAAGATAAAATCCTTCGATAAAATCCGGTTTGAAACAGAAAATTTTTTTGACTGGATGTGAACATTGTCAGAGGAGAAGCCTGTCTCGCATTTTCAGGAAGACTGTTCCAGACTTTTGCTGCATGAATCTGAAATGCTGCCTTCCCATGTTTAGCTCTGACTCTGGGACCAGCAGGAGACCAGTCCCTGTGCTCCTCAGAGTCCCAGCAGGAGGCCAGTCCCTGTGCTCCTCAGAGTCCCAGCAGGAGACCAGTCTTGTTCATATGGCATTAAACACCAGCCCTACTTGGCCCAGAGTGGTCCTGTTTAACCGGTCCCAGGTACTCTTTAGTCCTTGCAGCAGGGTCTAACGACAGTGCTGATGATCCTGGACATTTATAAACATGTATTAACTATTGATGGACATTGGTCTCTGCTCCCTCTGGACCAATGGCTCTATGTGTTTTTATCATTGCATTTCCTGTGTATGGACTGTTTGATTCTCTGATCTGTTGTTGGCGAATCGTTAACTTTGTAAAGCCCTCCGAGACGACTGCTGCTGTGATTTAGGGAGAAACAAGAATACATTGAATTGAGTTGAATTGTTGGTGCCATGTGGAGAGCATTTCAAAGAATCAACTAAAAACGTTTGCTTATTGTTCAGAGAATGATCACACGGGCTGGCAACCTGTTTATTCCTGCATATTTCAGCTCTGGATGTTTGTGTGTGTGTGTATTTTTTGTGTGTTTGTGTGTGTAACCGGTGTGCGGTTGTGTTTCTCTCCACAGACATGTTGCGGACTCAGAGCTGAAGTCTTTTTCGGAGTCGACAGAACGAGAGACATGCCCTCTCCAACAGCACGCGCCTGAAGTCTGTAAGTACGTCACACAAATGACCAGTGGGGGAGGTGTGTGTGTATCTTTGTGTATCAGTGTGTGTTTGTGTGTCTGTGTGTGTAGTAGTACTTGTAATAGTAGTTTATGTCTTGGTTCTTTCAACGATTTCAAACATTTTACAATAACAATAATGGCAATTTTAGTTCTAAATAATGTGTGTGTGTGTGTGTGTGTGTGTGTGTGTGTGTGTGTGTGTGTGTGTGTGTGTGTGTGCGTGTGTGTGTAGCAGTTGTAGTAGTAGCTCTTCATTTTACAATTTGAATTAACAAAACAAAAACGTGTATATAACACATTGTAGTGCTTAATATTGCCTGACTGATAAGGGTTTAGGCTGTGTGTGTTTGTGTGTGTCTCTGTGTCCATGTGTGCGTCTCTAAATACGTGTGTGTCTTTGGCTGCTTGGCACGAGACAAGGAGAGCGTGAACCCCGACAGCTGAACATGCGCTTGCCTGAATGTGTGCATGCGTTTGGGCCTTCTGATGCTGGGGGAGAGGGGGGTGAGGGAGGGGTGAGAGAGGGGGGAGGGAGGGTGAAACAAATGGAATGTGGACAGCTGTCACCAGACTCCTGATCCCGGTGGACAGTATGGACACATGTGGGGAAGTTGCGACTGTAGAGAAGGACTTCAGGAATCTTGTATCTTACTCTATGTTTCAAAGCACTACACTCTTCTGACTCTGTGTTTTGATAATTGAGAATGATTAAGACTATTCTGTACGTCCCCAGATAATAGCTCAACATATACCAATTGTAACTGACCATTTTCTGATATTGCAGAGTTAGCTTAGGTGCTACAGGTGCGTCACAGGCTGTAAAATTGAGATTCGGCAAGGGTAGTTTGTTTGCAGATTTGTATAGTATAGTTCATACACAAAGGCAACACATGTGCTTAGGGCTGGAGAGGGAGACCTTGTGTGTAATCTTGCGCAATATTTCAAAACACCACATTCTGTTGGACCCGTGTGTTGGTATTTGTGAGCGATAAAGGGTTGGTGGTGTGTACGTAGTGTAATTGTGTACCGTAGGCTTTGAGATTGACTCTGAAGGAGAGAAATGTTCATTGAAAAACATTGTATTTGTTGCGTACTTGTAGGAAACACACACACATGCATGCACACAAGCTTACACACACACACATGCAATTTTAAACTCAACTAACATGAGTTTAAAATTGTGCTAGAGGAGAGGTCCTGATTGTGGTGGATTTATCTGTAAAAATATTCAGCCTTTCTGTTCTGGTTTTGGACCATAATGGACTATAATGGGCAGGGGTCCCACAGGGCTCTGTACTCTCCCCACTGCTCTTCTCCACCTCCAGTCACTGTTCCATTGAACCGGTCAGACATCTTTGCCCTGCTTCTGTCACTCTATCACCGCCGCCTTCACCCAGGTCCAGCTCAGGTCCAGCTCAGGTCCAGCTCATGTCCAGCTCAGGTCCAGCTCAGGTATAGCTCAGGTCCAGCTCAGGTCCAGCTTAGGTCCAGCTAAGGTCCAGCTCGGGCTCAGGAGTCTCTCTGGAGCACGTTTGAGTTGGACCAGAATCTCTGGTCGCAGGAGCACTCTCTCCTCCTGCTGTCGGCCTCATTAACACTTCATAACACCTGTCACTCTGAATAATCCTCCACAGTCCACCCGCATCTTTTCACTTTGTGAGTTTTGTGCCGTATTTCTATTGTAACCACCGGCGTCTCCAAATGTCAGAGAATCAAACCGTTCAGACACAGAAAATGCAATAATAACAAACAGAGAGGAGCCACTGGTCCATAGGGAGCGGGACGACCAGAAACAATACATATATTACCTTCATAGATTAAAATGTGAATATAGAAAAAAAAGCAGAGAAGTGAAACAAACGTCTCACAAAGAAAGCACAGGGACTGTCCTCCTGCTGGGACTCTAAGGAGCACAGGGACTGGCCTCCTGCTGGGACTCTAAGGAGCACAGGGACTGGCCTCCTGCTGAGACTCTAAGGAGCACAGGGACTGGTCTCCTGCTGGGACTTTGAGGAGCACAGGGACTGGCCTCCTGCTGGGACTCCGAGGAGCACAGGGACTGCCCTCTTACAGGTCCCAGAGTCAGGACTAAATATGGAGGAAGCAGCAAATCAGATTTATGCAGCTATAATCTGGAACAGTCTTCCTGAAAATGTGAGACAGGCTTCTTCTCTGACAATGTTCTCATCCTGGTTAAAAACAGTTCAGTTTCGCTGCAACAACTGGAGGATTTTATCTTCTCTCTTTTTAATATACTGTGACTATTCAATGCCTTGTTTGACTTTCTCTTTTCTCTCTGAGTTGCCTTGTGTAAGCACTGTGCTATACATATAAACTTGCCTTCTACCTTCATATTTCTCCATTATTCTTCCACCGTCCATCAGAGCCCAACAGGCGATGTGTGGACTCCGTGATGAATTGGTGGCAGTTGCTGAAGGCATATTAGGGCAGAGGGTGTGGAGGGGAGGGGCCGTGCGCTCTGAGGGGGGTGTCATGGAAGTGTGGCTGGGGTGGGTGGGGTGTCGGGGGTGACAAGGGGAGGGGGGGCAGACGTCCAGTGGAGGGGTAGGGCAACTTGGGCCAGTTGGAAGCCAGAGAACTCACTCCACTGGCAGTTGTCATTCGAGGAGGTGGAATGGTCGGATGTGCTTGTACGAGATCAGAAAACTCGACTTCACTTGGATCATACTTTGGCGGAACCTTTCCCCAGAGACGATATTGAAGAAGCTGGAACAAAAACAAGGGTAATTTTTGATTACAGTTACTTGCTTCTTCTAAACTAGACACTTGCACGATCGCTATGTTATTACCTTGACACGTTTTGAGCGGCTTTCTCACTCATATCTCAAGTTACTTTGGAATATTCGCTAATGCTAACGCTAACACCGCTACCATTTTGACCCTCACGGTTCCCATGCTTGCTATCTCATGTGTTCCTCTCTCAGCTGTCGTGTCTTAATCAGTGCTAGAAGCGTTGGGTTTTTTGAAGCGAGAGGGGGTAGTGGAAGTAAAACAGCCCATGCTAGCTCTCTGGCTCCGATGGGAACTTTCCGAAACCTAGAGATAGCGTTGAGTGCGGAGTGACGCCACACGGTTGGGCCTGGTTCCTGTCTCCAGCCACCGCCACCGTCCACACACATGCCCAGTGGAAGGTGCTTGTAGTGAGGCAGGAGATGGAAGGGGGGAGAGGGGTAGGGTTGCCAGGGGGTGAGGGGGGAGATAGGGGGCGGGGAGTGGAGATTTACGGTCAGGCGCTTGTGCTGTTGTGCTTCTCGTAACGCCACACCTGTTCAGTTTGTTATTTACTTTGGAGATTTTTACGATTCCGGATCGGCACTCACTGCTCTATGGGTGGATGTTTAAAGTTTAAAGTTACGCGTGAGATGGAAAATTTGTATCCAAGCTGGACACATGGTCTTCTGGCTTTTTAATTCATCTACGTTCATGTTTTATCAAAAGAACATTTCTGAATATCTGAAAAAAAATAGCAATAAAAACAAGATTACTTCAGTCTTTACAAGGCTCAAGCTGAACTGCTGCTTTCTTGATTATGGACTGGTCTTGTAATGTCCAGGCATAATGTTGTTTTGTAGTTTTGTGCTGAACTAGGATTTAATATGTACTTTATTCGGTTGGAAATGTATCTGATGCTAGAAGTTTCTTTTAAGCTCAACTCATGGTTTTCACATTTCAGACTCAAAACACATTATTTTGCTTGTGTTCATCTACATGCTGTTGTTTTTCCTGGAAGTTTAGTCATTAAACTTTCCATTCACGCTGGAAACAAGCTTATACCTGATGGTTGGTGATGGTGGTGACTGGTGATGGTGGTTGATGGTGTTTCATGGTTGATGCTGGTTGGTGCCATGGTTGGTCCGTGTCTGGAGTTATACCTGTACCTGATGGTTGTTGGTGACGTTGGTGGATGGTGGTTCATGGTGGTTCATGGTGGTTGATGGTTGTGGATGGTGGTTCATGGTGGTTCATGGTGGTGGATGGTGATTCATGGTGGTTCATGGTGGTGGATGGTGGTTCATGGTGGTTCATGGTGGTTGATGGTTGTTGATGGTTGGTTCATGGTGATTGATGGCCGTTGATGGTGGTTGATGGTTGGTTACTGTTGGTTATGGTAGGTGACTGTTAGTGATGGTGGTGGTTGATGGTGGTTGATGGTGGTTGATGGTGGTTGATGGTGGTTCATGGTGGTTGATGGTCCGCTGGTTGGTGCCATAGTTGGTGACTGTTGGTAACTATTGGTGATGGTGGTTCATGGTGGTTGATGGTCGTTGATGGTTGGTTACTGTTGGTGATGGTAGGTGACTGTTGGTGATGGTGGTTCATGGTGGTTGATGGTGGATGATGGCGGTTCATGGTGGTTGATGGTCCGCTGGTTGGTGCCATAGTTGGTGACTGTTGGTAACTATTGGTGATGGTGGTTGATGGTGGTTCATGGTGCTTCATGGTTGTTCATGGTGGTTCATGGTGGTGGATGGTGGTTGATGGTGGTTGATGGTGGTTATGGTGGTGGATGGTGGTTGATGGTGGTTCATGGTGGTTCATGGTGGTTCATGGTGGTTGATGGTCCGCTGGTTGGTGCCATGGCTGGTCCGCGTGTGGAGTTAGCAGCAGCTGCCCCACACTTGCTCCAGACCTCACTTGACAACAGCCTGGAGCTGATCTCAGAGACACCTAAACGGCAGGACCCTGTGCGCCGCATCACAGCCAATGTAAACACCGGCGGCCATCTTGCTTCGCTCTCTGAACACTTGCCCAGCGGTCACTCCGGAGTCGGCCACAGTATTTGAGTACTGACCAGAGGACATGGAACTGAGCTTTTAGTGAAGGCCAAATAGTGGTTTTATCGAGAAAATAATTTGCATTTTTCTCACCATAGATCCTTTCTAGGCACGTCAAGTGTATTTGTATTGGACAGTTCATACACAATTCAAAGTGCTTAACACAACAAGAAAAAATATAATGTAAATCTTGTTTTAAGGCAGTTAAAATGTGCCAAATTTGACCCATTCTTGACTTATTTTCTATCACTTTCTGTTGTGTAGAAGTTCATTAACCTCCGCTTGTGATTTATTGACAGAGGAAGCTTTCATTATCGTCTCCACATACTTTCAGACTCGGCCTACGTCAGAACTTCTAACTTTGACACAAACAGAATCCGCACACGCCTCTTCTGATCCACCGTGTCTCTGTTCTATAATTAGCCCTTATTTTTATTTGTGATCTCAAACCGGAGACTTCCACCCACTCACCTACCTCTGGCACAGACCTGCACTGCAAAAAGGGACGCAAAATCAAGTCAAATCTGGCAAAATGTTTCTGACTGAGCCTTAAAACCAGGGACGAAGCAAAATGATCTTAAAATTATTCAAGAAATGTCTAATTTGGAATGAGAAAATAAAGCAGCAGTTTTTTAAATAAGACTAAACGGCTTTGTCCCATTGGAGAATCTAGTTTTAAAACAGTCAGAATGTACAAAAAGAAGGCTAAAAATCTGTGAAAATCTGGAACAATCTTCATGAAAGTGTGAGACAGGCCTCTTTTTCTCTGACCATGTATAAAACCAGGTTAAAAACAGTCTTGTTTAGCTGCAAACAACTGAAGGATTTTATATTTTTATCGTTATTTTCAATGTTCTGTGATTATTTATGAATTTAATGCTGTGTTGTCTTTTTCAGCTCTTTGAGTTGTGCTATACACATAAACTTGCCTTGCCTAAAAACCACTCTATGCAAGCTTTTATTACCTCATATTTTATCGTTTTTTTGCAGTGTGCTTATAGCCAGCGGTTCATGCGTCTTTCTTTTGTCTGTGCGGTTTATCAAATTGATGAAAAAACGGGTTTGACTGGAGATATCTTTTCCTCTGTTATGGATACCTATTAATGTTTTGTCTGCAGGGCATATTTGCACACACATGTACGCACACACACGCACATGCACACACACACACACACACACACACACACATGCACACACACACACACCTTCACTTGTTTGGGCACAGCGGTGGCTTTGACTGTTTGTGAGTAATTTAACAGCTTCCGAGAGTTTGTCTGTGGTCCCAGGGGAGCCATTTAATTTTCAGCGCCTCAAACGGCAATTATTCATTCTTATGTGTTTGGGTTTGTCTGAGCAGCGATGGAGACGCTGGCTGCGCTGACTCCAGTGAAGAGACACCATTTTAAAACACCATTCCATTTCAATTTTTTAAAAATGTAGTTTTTTTAGCACAAAGGTGGAGCTGTAGCCCTGTTTCCACCAGCCTCACGTGAGAAACCAGAGAGAGGGACCAGAGAGAGAGAAATCAGAGAGCAGAGAAAGAGCAGAGAAAGAGCAGAGAGAGAGCAGAGAAAGAGCAGACAGAGAGACCAGAGAGAGAGACCAGAGAGAGAGACCAGAGAGGGACCAGAGAGGGACCAGAGAGGGACCAGAGAGGGACCAGAGAGGGACCAGAGAGGGACCAGAGAGGGACCAGAGAGGGACCAGAGAGAGACCAGAGAGAGACCAGAGAGGGACCAGAGAGGGACCAGAGAGGGACCAGAGAGGGACCAGAGAGGGACCAGAGAGGGACCAGAGAGGGACCAGAGAGGGACCAGAGAGGGACCAGCGAGAGTGGAGCAGGGAGAGGGACCAAAGGGAGAGACCATAGAGAGACCGGACAGAAAGACCATAGAGAGACCGGACAGAGAGAGACCATACAGAGACCGGAAAAAGAGACCAGAGAGAGACCAGAGAGCGACCAGAGAAAGAGACCAGAGAGAGAGACCAGAGAGAGACGAGAGAGAGACCAGAGAGAGACCAGAGAGAGAGACCAGAGAGAGAGACCAGAGAGAGAGACCAGAGAGATAGACCAGAGAGATAGACCAGAGAGAGACCAGAGCAGAGAGACCAGAGAGAGACTGTACTGCCTCAGGATCAGAAGAATCTCCTCTAGTGCAGCTAAGTCATTCTTCCGGCTGTTTTCAAGTTAAACTAACACCACTTGTTCTGTCTCTGTGCTCTCTCACCTCTGGTCCTTCGTGCCTCTGCAAAATGTAGTTGTCTTGCACAATTTGAACAAGGTGTAGCTTTAGCCCCATTTCCACCAGCCCCAGTTTATTGTCAGAATAGATGAAGCCCTTATTTTTATTGTGATTTCAAACCGGAGACTTCCACTCGCCCACCTCTGGCACAGACCTGCTCGAAGCCGGTCTCCATCTGGTCTCTCCCTGGTCTCTCTTTCTTCTCCAGCTCTCTGGTCTCTCCCAGGTCTCTACTTGGTTTCTCTTTCTGGTTCCGTTCTCTGGTCTCTCTCTGTCTCTCTTTCTGTCTCTGTCTCTGCTCTCTCTCTCTCTCTCTCTCTCTCTCTCTCTCTCTGTGTCTCTCCCTCTCTCTCTCTCTCTCTGTCTCTGCTCTCTCTCTGCTCTCTCTCTCTCTCTCCCTCTCTCTCTCTCTCTCTCTCTCTCTCCCTCTCTCTCTCTCTCTCTCTCTCTCTCCCTCTCTCTCTCTCTCATTCTTGCCTGTAAATCCTTCTTAATCATTTATACAAAAGCACTCTCTGACTTTCTTCTGGTGCGTTTCCTTCTGCTTCACTTTCCTCGTGTGGCTCCACCCCCTTCGATCCTGGAAACACAAAGACCGGCTCTGGCAGCAGCACGTCTAAAAACATGTGACACTGTGTCTGATTTTACTGTAGGTGTAGATTGTGGAGAAGTGTAAATATCTCTGGGTTTAATTCTGTCTAATGAGCTGGAACGAGACAAAAACACTTATCAGGTCGTTAAGAAAACTCTGAGAATTCACCTCAAAGTCTGAGATTCTGCTTCACTTTTGTCGCTGCAGAGTTGATGGTTTGATTGTTGGTTCTGTGAGAGAGAGCAGAGAGAGAGACCAGAGAGAGAGACCAGAGGGAGAGACCAGAGAGAGAGACCAGAGAGAGAGACCAGAGAGAGAGACCCGAGAGAGAGACCAGAGGGAGAGACCAGAGGGAGAGACCAGAGGGAGAGACCAGAGGGAGAGACCAGAGGGAGAGACCAGAGGGAGAGACCAGAGAGAGACCAGAGGGAGAGACCAGAGGGAGAGACCAGAGGGAGAGACCAGAGAGAGACCAGAGAGAGACTGGAGGGAGAGACCAGAGGGAGAGACCAGAGGGAGAGACCAGAGAGAGAGACTAGAGAGAGACTAGAGAGAGACTAGAGAGAGACCAGAGGGAGACCAAGAGCAGAGAGACCAGAGAGAGACCAGAGGAGACCAGAGGGAGACCAGAGGGAGACCAGAGAGAGACCAGAGGGAGACCAGAGGGAGACCAGAGGGAGACCAGAGGGAGACCAGAGGGAGACCAGAGAGAGACCAGAGAGAGACCAGAGAGGACCAGAGAGAGACCAGAGAGAGACCAGAGAGAGACCAGAGAGAGACCAGAGAGAGACCAGAGAGAGACCAGAGAGAGACCAGAAGGAGACCAGAAGGAGACCAGAGAGAGACCAGAGAGAGACCAGAGAGAGACCAGAGAGAGACCAGAGAGAGACCAGAGAGAGACCAGAGAGAGACCAGAGAGAGACCAGAGGGAGACCAGAGAGAGACCAGAGAGAGACCAGAGAGAGACCAGAGAGAGACCAGAGAGAGACCAGAGAGAGACCAGAGAGAGACCAGAGAGAGACCAGAGAGAGACCAGAGAGAGACCAGAGAGAGACCAGAGAGAGACCAGAAGGAGACCAGAGGGAGACCAGAGAGAGACCAGAGAGAGACCAGATGCGAGACCAGAGAGAGACCAAAGCGAGAGACCTGAGAGAGACAAAACAGAAAGAGAGCCCAAAAAGAGACTAGGAGAGACCAGAGAGAGAGACCAATGAGAGGTGCTCAGCTCTGAAAGAGGACTGTGAGCTGTCAGTTCTGGAAGTTCTTTATGAATCCAGACTCTTAAACCGAGCTCTTCAAAAAGCCATGTTCCAGCTTCTTACCTATGGCAGAAGATATCGTTGGCTGTGATGCAGGACATCTGTACATGCTAACCAGTGGGGGAGGGTCCCAGCTCAAAAGTGGCCAAAATGACGTGCGCTGACATGCTGCAATACCACCCCGGGCCGATGGGGGTGGACCCAGAAGAAGAATTAACCAATGCTAACATATAGCATTGGTAGACCTCTCGAAAACGTCTTTACAGGATGGACCAAAAGTTAGCTCTTGGCCCAAAGCTCCGTTCCACATGTGTGTCAATGCTGAGGGGGGTGGATTTTTTTGGTCCACTCTAGTTTACTTGCTGTGAATTTTTGAAGTCTCTCGTTCAAATGAATGGAGCTGCGCCGGCTGACGCATGCGCAGATGCGTTTTTTCACAATTTTCTTGTGGGCGGGACCACTCACGGCCACACTCACAGAAATATTTAACACTAACTTTTAAGATTTATGTAATTTTATTACATGACAAATTCCCATTCACTTTTTTTAGATAATTTTAATACAAACCTACCAAATAAACCTTAAATGATTTATATTCATTAGTGTACTAATGCTAATTTATTTGAAATGCATAATCTTCAGGTTTATGCGTTTTGTATTAATAAAATATAATTACTCCAAATTAATTATAAGCAGTGTAATTATTTAAAATACATAAAGTATATTGTTTGAATTACATTTTATTTATGCTTATGTAATAAACCAAATTAGTCAAAATGCATCACATTTATGTAATTTTTTCTCCATTCAGTACGATCTTAATGATGCATAAGAACAATCAGATCACCTTGTTAATTCCACAGATTTATTAACATTAAAGCCTCTCAATAGTCCAAGACATGGAGCTGTTATAGG